TATTAGTTTATTAATCATCGTATTTTTTGACGTGTACAACTTAAGATTTCCCAAACAATCATATAATAATTTTATGCAGTACATTTTTATTCTAGTTGTGTTTTTTTATTCGTAATTATTAGGTATAGTATAATATTTGAAATACCTATTGCCGATAGTATAATATACATCTCTAAGCAATACTAAAATATCTCCAGCATCACAAGGTCACACGTACCAATAGAATGTCCCACCAAGATTTGTATAAATTAGGTACATAAATTATTAGGAACTAATTGTAAAGCTATTTTACTTCCCTTTACAATTTAWAGTATGTTCTTTCAATAATTTATTTATGTAGAATACAGGCATAGAATGTAAATACATTTATTTAATTAATTTCAATGTATTTTCAAAATTTTATCTGTTGACCGTATTTGATGGAATACTCGTGTAAATCTTAAACCAATATACCAGTTACAAGGCGTGCCCGAAGTATTTTACAATTTAAAAAACAATATAAAYTGTCAAATCATTCAGCTGATACATTATAAGTATTAAGTATGTATTATTTTATTTTTTCATTTAGTCATTGATGGCTAGCTTATGGGTCGTGCTTGTGATTTTATATCAACGATTGTATAGTACACATACAAAATTAATGTAGGCCAGTGGGTGATCATTTAAATGGTAAGTTTTTTGGTACAAAATCCAGCTTTTATAGTTTAAACTCTTAAATAGTTTTTCGAGGGCAGGTAGTTTCCCTGAAAGACATACATTTYCCATGATAGTGATCGTAACATTATTCGGTAGAATAAAAAAATGTGATCACAATAATTTTCAAATATAAGTCTACTAAATAATGTATGTAAYATACTAATATGTATATACAATTTCTACAACATAAGGTATATCTTAAACAAAAAAAATCTGCGTTTAAACTATATTGTTTATACAAACGAGGAGTTATAATTTATAAATGTAATAAATATTTAATAGAATAAAATAAAAATAAAACTAGATTTGTATTACAGAAACAAATACAYAAAACAATATTTTAACATTAATAGTAATTTCAAATTTGAAAGATAAATTATAAATCATATTCCCTTTACATAAGTACATTTCGTCATTAATAAATTTTAAGTTTCACTCAGAATCGATTAATCATCGTTATAATAGTAATAAGTAATAAGTAAAATTAAAAAAAAAAAAATAGAAAAATTAATATAGTATTGTACTATTGCCTATTTTATGTATTTATACTACTTGAAAAACTGTTATATAAGTTTAGATATTAAAAAATCGGGTAAGTGGGTATCACTCTGCTGTACATTTGGGGTGGGGTGGATCTCTGACTAAGGTAGGTTAAATTTAAATGCAATGATAGGTATCATTGTATACGAAAAACGATTCTGAACG